GCGGGGAATATCAGAAGCCATTGCCTGTTGTTGAACTTCATAATTGGTGGTATGGTAATACTCATGCTATTTTTATTTAGCATCGAATTAAACCCTGGATTTCAAATATCTGATATCTAAAATTCTTTTCTATTATGAAATATTTTATAACCATTATTAAATGTCTCCTCTCCAATATATTGTATTTGATGGGTAACATTTTTTTTCGGAAATAAACTCTTTCATATATACTTAGCCAGCTGGAGCAAGATAAGAAAAACGAAGATGTCCGTATTTAGCAGCGGAAGTGCTAAGAGAAATGATACCCTAATCGTGTATCACATATAACACTTAACTGACACAACATTGCATGGGATGCTTTCGAAACAAGAATATGTGAATTGGGATCCAGTATAGATCAAATATGGATCGGAATCCAACAGATTTATAGGATAAGTAAAGAATTGGAAACGTTTATAAATTTAATATAGTTCACCTTAATTTAACGAGATATGTAAGCAAAAGAAAAGCATCTGCTCTTTTATATTTTATCTTTGTTTTCATTAGTTAAACCGACTTCACATGCATTTTTCTTGTTAAGCAGTATAATTATTAAATATTATAATTAATAAGCATTAATTATTAGTATCTATGTTAAACAGTTAAGGGTATGCGTGTATGTGTAACATAATTCTAGTTTGTCTATTCGGGATTCGGGTGATAATTGTGTAAATTAATTGAAACAAAACGAATAATCCCGTGATTATTTACTTTTTTGTTCGTATTTTTCCAATGAAATATGGCCCAGTTCGCATGCTAGTACTTCGTATGTCCATTCCACGAAACCATTCCTTGCAGATTGACCTCAGATTCTCGATTTAAATCAGAAGAGTTTCCGGTCCAGTTTATAGTACTTTGATTTGCTCACTGGTAAGGCAGTGTGTTTGTGTAGCGTTACAATTTTCGTAGACTTTTTTTCAGTAACGGATATTGTAGGCAATGGCCGCAGGACAACTAATCGAGAGTCGAGACAATAGTGTCTGGGCATGATTAAAATCTGATGCAATCACGGATGACGCAGTATTTTTCAAGGCCTATCTAATTTCATCATATACCCATAAAATAGATTCATATTACTGCACACTACTGCAAATGACCAAATCTGAGGAATAAATAGAAATTGATTACAGTGGGTCTAAAATTGGCCGAATGTTAAAAGAAAGGAAACTTAAGCAGTTGTTTCAATTAATTTGTACAAGGGTGTATATTTGTTTTCGTATGTGTATGTGCGTGTATATGTCTAGTAAGCATTTTATTAATGCATAGTGTTTGTCCGGATGCTGATCTGCAGAGATCTTTTCTACGTAACAGCGTTTGTCGTAGAGATAATTCTAGATAGATCTATTTTAGCTTCTTTAAGTATGGATCTTATAATGGCGACGGCGTATAGTTTGTTTAACACTAGGATGGCTAGCTCCTTTGACATCTTTATTTCCATTACACCGTGAAGCAGCCATCTCTAATATATTCAATATTCAAGTCAGGAATAATAAGTCTGAAAAGAATTTCACAAATATTAGTATACCTCATACTGAAAGAAAGTGATTATATATATATATATATATATATATATATATATATATATATATAAATTGTGCGTGTGTATGTGTATAGATTGATAAATAAATAGATAGAGAGGGGACATAAACACAAGTATTATTACTTGTTAGAAATTTTTCAATGCATTTAGCCTATAAATAACCTAGGTGTCAAAAACGACACGTCGGCCATTCAAGGTAAATCCTCAAATATCAGCTATTCCATTGAATATTTTTTAAAGAATTAAGTCTGTTAAGCATCTTTGCTATAATTCAATAATCGTCCCTAAGCCTCAGCATTCAGCCAAAACTAGTTATTCCATGGTAATTTGTTGAAATTTGAAGGTGTCGAAAACGACACTTCGGCCATCCTAGTGTTAACATGTGTTTATAGATGGTAAGAGATTTATCAGAACCACCTCCGAAATATTTCCGACCAAAAGATTTTTCTTTTTTAATCAGGGTGGGATTTATAAAATCCAAGTTATGACCAGTTTTATTTCTGTGGATTACGAGCGTGTTTAAAGGGTTTTCCTAATATAAGCCCTTCTTATGTTCATAGATACGGGCTTTTAGATTCCAAGATATTTCGCTAATATAACTACTTCTACAATGCAGATAACTTTATTTCATAAATCCCGCCATCCAAAATGGTCTGGGCTCTATTTTTCTTATTTCCGATATAGTCATGGCAATGTTAATATTAACCATTTTCTTATGAGGAATTATTTGGCATTCATGGACCGAGATGCCAGTATTAATTTACAGTGAAATTTATAAAATCTTTCTCTTACAACAATTCTTCAGGAAAATAGGTTTCTCAAGTCCAGTAGCTGTTATCGCTCTTTCTAGTATTGATGCGGGCTTTCATTTCTATACTTTTCCTCCTAGTAGTGTGGAACACCGACATATAGAATATATTATTTTTATTTTCTCTTTGGGTTACATCTGCTATTTATTTTAGTTGTTGCTGCTGTTGAAAGTCTTCAATGGATTTGGTTTCTGTTATTTGGTACTGTTCTTTGTTTGTGATTCAGTAGCTCCAGTCCACAAAGTTCAAAGAAGGATGACCTTTGCCAAGACACTAAGGCTTCATTATTTTCTCTTTGAGTTACATGTGCTATCCATTTTAGTTGTTGCCGCTATTGAAAGTCCTCAAGTGATGTGGTTTCTGTTATGTGGTACAGTTCTTTGTTTGTGATTCTTTAGCACCAGTCCACAAGGTTCAAAGAAGGATGATCTTTGCCAAGACACTCAGGCTTCATTATTTTCTCTTTGATTTACATGTGCTATCCATTTTAGTTGTTGCTGCTGTTGAAAATCCTCAAGTGATGTGGTTTCTGTTATTTGGTACTCTTCTTTGTTTGTGATTCAGTAGCTCCAGTCCACAAAGTTCAAAAAAGGATGATCTTTGCCAAGACACTCAGGCTTCATTATTTTCTCTTTGACTTACATGTGCTATCCATTTTAGTTGTTTCTACTGTTGGAAGTCTTCAAATGATATGGTTTCTGTTATTCGGTAGAGTTCTTGTAGAGCCTGTCCACCAATTTCGAAGAATGATGGTACTCATTATGACCTAGAGGCGTCATTCGCTCAAAGCCATTTTTCATCATTAGCCTGAGAAAACTTTTGTTTACAGCTGACAGTTAAATTTCTTTTATACAAATTATGTTATAGTTGATCCATATATGAACTGACACATTTGAAAAGTTTTGTAATCGATATTTACTAACTAGCAGGCAGTAGAGCCCGGCGTTGCCCGGGTATGTAACAGTAAGAGTTAGATCAAGTATCGACCATCATAAAGACTGAAAAATAAAATTGACAAAGTTTATTGTTTACGGTTAACGGACACGCATGTCTTAATTAGTTTTTTTTTTTTTTTTTTTGTTTTTTTTTTTTACGAATTGGTCAAACCCAAACAATTGTCTTGTAAATGGAATTTTTAAAGCATTCTGAATGTAAAAATAAAGAAAAAAGTGTGCAAGACAATAAGAAACACTACCTGCCAAAAAAAGTGAAGTTTTGTTGAAATCAGTTGAAAAATGTAGGAAATCCGATCCCATATATAAACACACACACACACACACACACACACAAAACAACCTGGGTTATATAATAAGTATAACTCGATATGAGTTGTCCCCCTTTCATTCTGGTGACAGTGATGCCTCTTAATCGTGTTTTCAATTTGATTTCGTGCAAAAACAATTGTGTTCTTTTTCTTTCTTTTTTTTTTTTTTGCCCTCCTCCGTTCTTCTTTTTTATCCTCTCCTCAATCTACCTATTCCCAGTCTTTTCCCTTACTTACACTATCTGTAGCCTCTTGCATACCAGACGCACTCCTGCTTTGCTTGGATTGAAATGTTTTGTTTTTTTTTAGTAGATATATATATATATATATATTGATAGATATTCACAGACTGAAAGAGACTGGTAAATATTTAACACCTCCAAAAACTAAATTGCTCTATTAATCTTCTGCGAAAGCCCTTTCTGCCTTCCATCAACATGGCTAATGCTAACCTCCAGAAGAGTCAGATGTTGAACTCTCTCAGACGAATGTTCTTTCTTGAATCTATCTTGCATATCTATAAGCCCATGAATCCTCCATGCTAAGAATATATATATATATATATATATATATATATATATATATATATATATCCGATATACTTTCCATATATTTACAGACCTTTGATATAATCTAAAGAAGTACCAGTAATACTATTGGTGCTGACCTGGCATCTCGTCTTCAGTCACTTTCCCTCCGCGATAAAGTTGTCTCCCTTTGCTTTTTCTATAACTACTTCCGTGAAAATTGTTCGGACGAGTTCTTCGCTTGGGTACCAAGGCTTTATGAATTTAGTTGTAGTACCTTACTGATGTGGTTTCACCATTATACAGTTGAGTTGGCTAGATATAACCGTAAGTTCTATGCTAGCATTTCCTTCTCTCGTACTTGCTTGAGGAATTCTCTTCTGGCCCCACGCTTTAAATGCAATGCTAATCGTTATCTTTCTGCCTTTCTGATTGCTATTATTTTATTCTTGCACCTGAGTAAACATTCTGTTTTCTGATTTTTTCCACACCCAATAACTTGTTCTAGTCCCTTTACTACCTTGATTGGAGTGAAATCGATTTAAAAAAAATATGTATATATAATGACAGATATGAAAATTCCAGCACACTTTGACTTCGGAAAAAATGAATCTATTTCTTCTTTTTCCGATCTTTGGTTAAATAGCAGGGTAGACCTGATACCCTAGCTTAGCTTCGTAACCAATCCAGAAGAACAACAACTCTGAATTCAAATGTAGTTGCTGGGTAGATGGTAAACTCCCCTCGAAAAAGCCTACTTGCTACGAAAAACACAAGACCAATAGAGTTTGTCTGTCCTCCTATACTTCTCTGGAATCTAA